ATTGCTTCACTAAAGAATTCTAGTTCTCCAAGTATCGGTAAGAAGCAAATAGTTTAAGAAAGGTAAATGCCTTTAGGTGGGTCTCGGACACTATGTTAGATCTTCTTATCCAATGAGTAGGAGTTACTAATTCCGGTTCAACTTTAGCCTCCCTATCTCTCGTTATCTAAATTTTGAATTTCACACATATCAACCTCTAAAATCTCCTCTAAATAAGCTTTCTCACTTGTTTCTTACTAGTTCCTTATACTATTAGAATATGTCCTAAACTTGTCTTTATGTAATATATTTTCATTAAAAGTCATGTCTTTATGCCTTGTGATCTTCCTATTTTGATCATTCCAAAACCAATAACCAAAATCATCAAAGCCACAACTAATGAAGTAACACTTTCTAGCTTTAGGGTCAAGCTTATCTCTATCATTAGATCTTACATGTACATATGAAACACAACAAAAAGTTCTCAAGTGTGAGAAATTTAACTCCTTTCCCGATTATACTTCCTCGTGTAATTTGAAGCCCTATGAAATTGAAAGTCTTATATTTATGAGGTAAGCTATTGTATTCACTACATCGATCTAGAATGCTTTAGGTAAATCGAATGCAATGTCATGCTTCTTGTTAGCTTATTTAAAGTTCTATTCATCTTTTCAGTAACACCATTTTGCTCTAAGTGTCATAGGAACTGTCTTGATCATCTTAATCCGATTATCTAAACAATAATATTTGAATTCTATACTAACATACTCGTCTTACATTATCCGACTTTAAGGCTTTGATCTTTAAACCATCCGATTTTTAACTTTAGTCTTCCATCTTTAGAATACAAAAAACATATTAGATTTATTTTTCAAAAAATAAACCTATACCTTTCGGTGAATTCATCAATGAAAGTGACATAATAGCCTAAACCCCCAAGAGAAGTCACAAGGGTTAGTCCCCATACATTTGTATACACCAATTCTAGCTTCTTTTCGTTTAAGGATCTATCAAACTTTTAAAAAGAACTCTCTTCTCGCTTTTCATAAATGTAGGCCTTGCATAAGCCAACATCAATATATTTTAATTCTAGTAATTTTCTTTTCGATGCTAATTGCTTCAAACCCTTTTCACTCATGTGCCTAAGCCCTCGGTGCCATTGTATCGAATCTTCATCACCATCAAAATTAACCACTCGCTATTGTATCCCTTGTTATAGCACTTATGTACAAAATTCTAACCTTCATTGTCTCATGCTATAACTATATTTCCTTCATTATTTTCCATGATCCACTCCCAAATACTATTGTGTATTCAACATCATCGAGTTTACTCATAAAAATAAGATTTTTTTTTCTAAGACCAGGAATATGTCTAATATTCTATAGTTTTCATTAATTTTACATGCAATTTTAATATTAACCTCACCTTTTTCCTATAATGTCTAGAGGTTCATCATTTGTAAGATAAACCTTTCTAAAATGTCCTATAATATATTTCTATAGGAAATATTTATATGGAGTAGAATAAAACGAAACAATTGAGTCTAAAATCCAAGACTCAATGGGACTCGTCTATACTCGCAAATTAATGCATCTATAATTTCATCAATCATCGCATATGTAGAGTCATCATCCTAATTCTTCTTCTTTTTCTTCTTCTTCTATGGAGCCTTACATTGATTTTTAAAGTGCCCCTTCTAGTCGTAGTTCCAATAGGTGATCTCTTTGTGATTTTGGATTTCCCTCTACTTTTAATTTTGATCGATGATGACCATGATTCCGAACCTACTAAAGGACTCTTCCTCCGTCATTAGTACTCAAAGAAAAACATGAAAGTTCTTTTGACTCACTCTTACAAAGATCTTTATTGACCATTAAATCTTGAACATCATCCAATTTTAGTTTCTCATTCCTTGATGAATCGCTTATTATTATTATCGTTCCGGACTCAGCTATCGAGTAGAGAAGATAGTAAAATCAATGCCTTAACTTCATCGTTAAACATAATGTTTACCGACTTTAATAGACCGATCAATATATTAAATTCATTAGTATGATTAGTCATAAACATACCTTCGTCATCTTCGGATTGAATAATCAAAGCATCAAAAGGACCTTGTTTAAAGTAGATGGCTTCTCATATAAATTTGACAAGACTCGTCATCGGATCCGCTTGATCTTTTCTTTTTCTTTCATGATGTTGAAAGTAACATTTTGTGTTAAGGTCAATCGAATGACACCAAAAGCTTGGCAATCTAATAGAACCTAATCAACATCTTTCATCTCTTCCGGCTTATTCATTGATAGGGGTTTATTTAGTCAGTTTCGGTACGGATAGTCTTCAATCTACATCTTTTAGAACCTCAAGTCTTTGTGATCAAACTAGTCAATCCTTACCTTTTCTTCTTCTTCCATCAATCCTCCTTACTCTACTAACCTAAGGCTTTGATACCACTTTTTAGGAAATGAATCAAGAAAAAGAATAAAGTAAAAAGATAAGAATAATCTCAAACACAAAGATTTTACGTGGTTCGATAATGGTGCCTACTCCACGGTTACACTAGAATTTCTTATTAAATTTTATCAATTGATGGCTATAAATACAAGTGATGTTGCATCTATTTATAGTGTAGACAACTATGGTTATATAAAAAAAGGCCTAGCGGACCTATACACTCGACTTAATATTCTATAGGCCCCTAAACCCCCATAAAGGGCACTACTCCCCTAATCTTCGCTTGCTAACCAACTAGTGAGACCACCATGCCGGCTCGTATAATGCCTTAAATTATGGGCCCTCATCTATATGAGTCTCCACAACTTAATAGAACTTGAATGTCATAATGGCCATCTTTGTACCCAAAAGGTTAGCCATTGTTCATATCACTAACAAAAAGGAGCTTTAACCTTCGACCTAGGACTCGATCGATTGATGTGTGTTCTTAACCTAGCAGCCCTACTCCACTAGAAAAGATGTCATCAAATATGTCCGGGGCTGACCAAACCACCTTAGGAGGAATCTTTTAGGTTCCTACACTTTTAGAGACCATAATTCTACTACTAGAAGAGGCTTTGGAACCAGATTCAATCTTAACCGTATTAGTCATGTTCTTCGCCAAGCATAGCATAATGGAAAGACAACAATTACCTAGACAAAAGACTTTCTTCTTAACGAAAAGATCATAAAGGTTTAAAAATTGGTCTCACGACCCAAATACTAAAAGCCTTAAACATCCTTTGCTAAAGATCATACCACAAGAAGAAAATAGAGAGAGCAAAACCAATTGAAAAGATGGGAAACACAAAGAAGAAACAAGATGAAAAGGAAGAATCCTAATTTATATAGCCTCTCCAAAATCCAGATTCTAAAGTATCTTTAAATCTATGTTACCTTTGCATGTGCTCTATGAAAAGAAAGAAGCAATATGGTTGATGGTGAGCACTTTTTAAATTTTGAAAAGATGAAAACTATTGGTCTTCCTTAGCTTTCTCATACGCTAGCTTTTGAGCTCCCTTAGGACTACATAATTCCTAATAAATGAACCAAAGATAAACCCACCACCAATCCAATTGAAAATCAATGACAAACAAAGCTCAGAATCTCTTAAGTGAAATAAATCATTGCCATTATAAATACAAAAGACTTGACGGAGGCAACTGATATAAGCAGAAAAAATGATAGTGCTAAACAAAGGTAACTTAGCATAAAGTAAGGCTTACCCAAGGAGACACATCACCAAGCAACCAGGATGTGGGCTCCCCATGGCCGGGAACATACTAGATGTGCCATTGAAACTTGTCTCTTAATCAATAACCAAGGGACGAGCTACTACGATCACCAAGAAAACTCGAGGAACCCTCATCAAATGAAAACACGTTTAAACCACTCTTTGTGATATCAACAACATTGAAAGGGATAAATCACCCCCACTTGACATCAAAGAAAGCGAATAGATCGTTCTATTCTTTTTATCTTGCAACTTGCCAAGATCTAGTTTATATAAGAACTCTAACCACCATGGGTTTTAGGTTTTCAAACTTGTCACAACTCTTTACATTAAAAATAACAATAATAATAATTATCAAAATCTAATCAGGACACTGTCCTTCTCTTTGATCACTAACTAGATCCTAGGAAAATCCCTCAATCAAGTACTCAAGAGACTTGTGTTATAGCTGTACATCGTAGAAGAGAACATGAAACACAATCAATCTCCACCCTCCATCCTCAGTCACAGATTTTGACACGTCATTGTCCTTTTCTGGACGAGAAACCCATCGCCATTCATGGCCAAATTATATATTTACTGCTACCCAAATTTCAATATTTCATTAATAGCTAGGTTTCAATTCTCAAGTGGACTGTCTATTATTGTTATGTGGTTAAACACTACGGATATTTCCACTTTCTTTCCTTCCTTGAGAAGGAACTGATCAGATACTTTGTGACCGTCGCCTAAAAATAGCTTTTAATTTTAGTACTAACATCAACTAGGTTTTTCTGGTAGTATTATATAAGTAAATAAAAACTAATTAATTAAGCCGGATATACTGAAGAAGAATGAAACAAGTTAAAAGAAGTTGGCGTCAATAGTTGTATAGAATATCTACATATATAACCCATTTTATTACAAGTAACAAATTAAGTCATGAAGAAAGCCTCATCTTTGCAGGAATGACCTTTATGCAAGCCCCTATAGCTTCCAATGTAGTATGGTGGCCACATCTTTTACCTAACAAAGGAAGAAAGAAGGAAAATGCAGTAGTGAATAAAGTCTATAGGTAATTGGAGTAGTTTTATTAATTTATTACATTTCAGGAAAAATAAAATAGAGAAGCAAGACTAGAGTACTGCATTTCTTTGAAAAGGAGAAGCTGGTGATCTCCATTTTATGTTTTATTAATTGCGATCAAAGATATAGCTCATTTAAGCATGTACAAAGTACTTCTGGGAAAGAAAATCATAGTAGCTAGTTAGAAACATAGGCAGAGTCACTGATATATGGTTGATGTTCATACAGAGAGGGAGGGAGAAAGGCTATACTCAAGCCCCCACAGCTCAAAACTGCCTTTGACAAAGTCATAATAACCACCCTTCAGTCCTAGAGTTTTTTTCACCAAGCCATCTCTCACAAATGGGTAGGTTAGCAAGTGTCCAAGGGATACGTTCACTGCCTCCTGCAATACCAATTTACACATTATGATTAATTAATATCAATGCTCGCAAATCATTATTAATAATTTTGGATTTCAACAGTTCTTTCTTTTGGCTAGAAAATACATAACGCATTATATTTGCAAATGATTCTCTAAATGCAACCCTAGTACGTACAATGAATGACGTCGCTCTGAATCGAGAAGTAAATAGTAGCTAATTAAGCGCTTACCTTTTCACAATGCGTACATAGTTCTGGGAAATCTAAATTGCCATGTTCAGCTAAAACCTTAGTCCTGGCAGGGTAACAAACTTTGACCCAATCTTCTATGAAATCACTGCAGATACAGCTCAATCATTCAAACGAAACTTACAATATATCTGGCATGGCATGATATACAGTTTTTAATTAATACTATAATATAGAATAGTCCAGTATAAGCATAATTAATTAGGCTTAATGACGTACGTAGATGTAGTTCCATCAAATGGGAAGGACATGAGGCCCTTAATTCCACCACAGGCACTGTGTCCAATGACCACAATGTATTCCACCTGCAACGTTCATATTAACATCGATCAAAGACCTTAGGCCTTTGAAAATTGAAATTACAATATTTCCATTCGTCAAATTTACTTTTAAAGTAATTAGCTCACCTTCAGATGCAAAACTGCATATTCTACTGCTGCCCCAACTCCAGCGTATTTAGTCTGTGGCAATTAATAATAGTTTGGTTGAGACAGATTTTTAATTTGTTGATGATGATGAGAAAGAGTAAGAATTTATTAAATAATGTAACCTGATCATATGGAGGGACCATGTTAGCCACATTTCGGACCACAAAAGCTTCCCCTGGTTGAAAATCAAGAACATGGGATGGGCAAACCCGAGAATCCGAGCATGCAAACACCATATACTGCAGCAGTTTAGTTTAATCACAACACAGACAACAAAAAGTTGCTAAAATCCAAAAAAAAACGATTTTTTTTTTCAGAAAAAAAATTAAAAAAAAAAGGGAAAACGATTCTACATTAGCTCCTTAATTATTTATAAAAATTACAACACAAATTAAGAAATGCATTTGTATAATTAAGTGTACCTTGGGGCTTTGGCCTTTGGCAAGCTCGGAGTACAATCCCGGACTCTTGCTGCAAAAAAAAAAAAAAAAAATTTAAATGCACAGATATGCTTCATGCACATAGGCATAATAGTAGCTATTAGCTACTAACTTATAGCTAATATAATATTTATAAGATGCAGTAGAAAATTGTTAAAGAAGAAAGAGAGTGAGAACGGCTGACTCATATTTCTCCTTCTTGAAGTGAATGAAGCCAGATTTAATCTTCTCAACAGGATCGAATGCCTTGGCGTCAGGAGATGAGGCAGTCTGTAACTCAGCTGTTATCTGCTCCACTTTGGCTGCTGCAACAGTTTTCAGCTCTTCCTTCTCACTGCATGCAACCAAAGACCAATCAACTACAGATTACTACAGTAATACTTTAGTTACAACCTTATTCTGTTCACTGCATGCCATTCACCTCATGCTCTCTCTCTATTTTTCTTTTCCTAACGAGCTTTTAATTAATTAGTAGTCATGTTGGCTGCAATATTTTAATCTTCTCTCGCATTAGCAACACTGAGATCATGGAACTGAAATTAGAATATTTTTTAATTGCTCGCTCCAAAAGTTTTTTCTTTTAATTAGTTTTTTTACGTACACTCTGTTGGGGGAGGGGTGAAGGTAACTTAGGGAAGAAGAAGAAGAATACATGGGTTGGCGGAAAAAGGAAAGCACAAATTTACTATTCTTTCCAATTTGGACAATTTATAATAGTATTACCAGCTAGCTTATGTATATTCATTTTCACCTGAGGAGTTTCTTGAGAGATTCAATGGCTTCATTGTAATCCTTTCCCATTTCTTCGTTTCTCTGAATTCCGACCCAAAACATTTAGGAATATTAATTTTAATTTAAACAATTGTACATATAAATTATGTAATAAAAAAGAAAAAAAAAAGGCAATTGAAAAAAGCGAAAAGAAATTAAATGAAAGGAGAATCAAGAAATCTATTCAAATTCATGTTGCTAAAATATGCAATTAATTAATTCAGAGAAACACATAAAAAAAAATCTCTACTATACTGGAAATGTTGGTGAACGAGGTGACAGAACTGGGTTTTTCTTTCTTGGGAATATATATATATATATATATATAATGCAGTATCGATAATTGAGTGGATGAGTGCCAGAAACGTGGGCATTAGAAAGCCACACACACATATATATGCTTGCTTGTTGATGGAAAATTTAGTTGTGTGGTCATGTGTAACATGAGTATACACACGTGAAAATTGGCTTCATGGTAAAAATGAATGCTATGCATTTGCTATTTTATTGGATGAATCACTGAAAATTGTAGAAATATTTTATATGGTGGTAGTAATAGCAAGTAATAAAGTTGTGCATGCATTATAAATTCTGAGGAATGCATGCATGCATGAATTGTATTAATTGTACCCGAGGAGGATAAAGAATAGGAGCAGGGGCTGCAAAAACAGGCTGGTTTCTGATAAGGGTAGGAGGAGAAACAGAGGAACCAAGGCTAGCAAAGACCGAGGGACGTAATGTGGGTTGTAATCTCTTAGCGGGAGAGACGGAGGTGAGACACCAGCTGTTAACTGAAGCCGTCGACATTGTGCAGGGGGCCTTAGAATTCGCTTGCTTTATACCCATTTTTGTAGATAATGAAAATGATAGCTCGGCGAATAAAAGCTTTTGCCCTTGTAGATGAGGTTTGGACGATGGAGATCAATGCTGCTTGAATCCTGATCATGTTAAATTGCACAGTTCTTTTTTTTTTCCTCCTTCAACGATCAAAACTAGCTTGAATATGCATTCACCATTATTGATCACCAATGTATTAATGCTTTATTTAATTTATTTAATTTTTTCAATGCTGTTAGTTGTAATTGTTACAGCATGCAGCTATTCTCTCCCTCAAATGTACGTATTTTCATCAATAATATTTATAAACTTTAACTTGATTGTTTGAATTCGTAAATACATAAAGGTGTCCTCTTAAGATTCCAAAAAGAATAAGGGTCTGGAATATTTATATACATATTTCTACAGGTTTTGCTAATCTAAATCTGAAGTGATTGGAGAGAAGACGATCCAGCATTAATTTAAACCGACTATGGAAGCTCTTTCGGTCCATATTAAGTGTATCTACATAAGATAAAGCAGTTTATCAAAAAAAACTACACAAAATTATTTTCTAAGACCATTAATCGGGAGAGCCATCACCATTCACCACTGCAATATATAAGACCTGCATGTATTGAGCCGAAAACCAATCCACCAAAGGATCTACTCACAGCCAACTGAAGCAGCGGTCTTTCATATTTTGGAGGCCGCTCGACTTTCGAGTTTCACATTCACCCAGCACTGAAACTACATTTTACTCCTTTTTTCTTCTTAATTTTGAACCAATCAATTTTTCTGCAAATCCAAATCTGTTTTCCCACAAGTTTTTGTAGGTTTTATTTGTTTGTGAAATGCATGCATATCCGCCCATTCAATAATATCAATCTATATATACTACCCATATTGTAAATAGAAAATAATAATTATTTTGGGATCCAAAGATTAGAATCTAAAATCTCAAAAGATTCATGTGCAATGCTACTTATGATTAGCAAAAAAAATTAATAAATACGCACTAATTAATAAAAAGAAAAGATGAGCATACATATACTTAGTTATTTAGACTTACATTGTATAAAATAAGATAACTAAGATTGGGTTCTATCCAAAAGATTTAAGCCTCATGATATGTGGCTTCTCACTACAGTTCATCTTTTTGAGTCATGTCAAGTGGCATGGTTCAAGGATCTTTCTTACTTTTTGAAACTTTAATACTATATAAATTTAGATAATTGATATTGAGTTTTATTTAAAAAACCTAAGTATTATTGTAGATGATCTCTTTTTAATTTTATATATTATTTATTTTTAATTTAACTATTTAATGTGGGATATATTCTAACACATCCCAATAATTTAATTCAACTATGAAAAAAGAAAGGAAGAAGAAGAAAAATTTTATGTTAGACTGACCTCTCTGTATCCAAGTCCTAACAAGCAGAGGGGTGACACGTGTCTGTATAGCAGAAGATGAAGCTTTATGGTTCAAAAGGCAGATAGCTATATCCTTTTTACTCATGGAATCAATGGTCCAAATGTGACAGACACGATGGGTGATGGAACGTAGAGATAAGACCCTATCCCTAAAATATGGCTCTAGAGCATTTGGGGATCCAAACTGGCTAGAGACCCTTTCTATCTTTTATAATGAATGTCACTGACATTAGTTGGATCGCGAGGTTTGGTCTTGAATGTGATTTTAATTAAGAGCTTTGCCTTCTATGGCTGTGACGCCTGGATATTTATATGCCTTGGAGACAAAGTAAAAACTGTCAAAATTTGCCTCACCTTGCTAGTTATCAATTTACTGGTCTTAATTTGTGCATACTTTTTCAGTTTTTACATATGGAAAATCATGGGATAGAAATACAGTAATTCTATCTTACCTCTAATATATAATATTTCTTGCAGCATATACATAAATTAGTTGCCATTACTGACTTGTGTTTATTGCATATATATATATATATATATATATAGTTGCTAAGACACGAATGAGACTTCAACCAAGAAGTGGAAACCTGCCATTACCTCGATGAGCATTCCGATTCCCAAACAACTCGCGCGCTGGTCTTCTTGTTCAATATTTTGGAAAATGTGGATTCTCGAGCTAAAATCATACTTAACCATTTTTCTTGCAGCGAAAACTAGTTGATCGAAACATCTATCTCTCTGGATTACATACATTGTGAGTTTTCATGCTAGTGAAGCACTTGACTGAGGAGGGAGGATGGAATTTAGTTTGTTGCAATTTTAGATTTTCATTTATTTATACTAATATTTTTGTGGAGAAAGTATGACAACATTATTTGGCAAAGTGTGAACACCCTTTGTCATCTTTTAGACTTTTTTTGTTGGTAGCCATAAAGTGGGAAGTTTAGAATATGTTTTTCAACAAGCAAGTTTGTCTTAATTTATAAAGAAAACAAGGATTAAGTTTTAATTACTATTGTTTCCTATATTATAATATAACTAGACATACTTTTCACCGAAACAAGGTTTATAAGTAAATCATCATTGTTTCTTCCATTATAATGGCATTGAATATTTATCCATTAGAACATATCCTACATTGAATAGTTAAAACAAAAATAAATAATATATAAAATTGTAAAAGAGTCATCTACTATATAAGGTTTAAGTCTTTTACATGTGTCTCCATCTAATATTTACGAAATTTTCAAAAAAAATATATGTCTTGTATAAGCAAAAAAGAATTAAGAAAAAGATTTTTGGGGTTGATTATGCTTTTTGGAAGATAAAAATCATCCAAAAAAATTATTTTCGAGAAAAGGTAACATATTTGGTTTAATTATAAAAATATCTCCTAAAGATTATATTTCTCAAATTATTTCCTAAGTCTATTTCCAACCTTAATTATCATATAGGTCAATTTTTTTTTTATTATGACATCGTATTAAATTAACATCGAACTCCAAAATTGAGATTTGCGACATAATAACTAAAGGTATTTTATTTAGATGTAGATAAGAAAATATTTTCAAAATTGATTATTTTATTTTTTTATTATGGAATTATATTAAATCAACGTCAGGTTCTAAAATTAAGAATCTCGTCAATTTAGCATTAGATCCATTGGCATGTCGAGAAACGACATAGTAATCTCAAGTGTTTAAGCAGAACACCAAATAAAAACAACCCTTCCTCTCTCTCCCTCCCTATATATAGCATTTTTATTATTGGATAAAATATATTGAAAGTATCGTCCATTCCTAATAAAATAAGAGACTCGTTAGCCTGATATCACGACCGAATAAAACTCCACACATTAAAATAAAATTTATAATCTAAATATTTATAATTCTCTTGAAAATAATATAATTGCCACTGGTATAAAAATGACAGAATTGCCTTTTGACAGCCTTGAATCTTCCAGTCGCCAGCGGTCACTCCTCCAGCCACCATTTGGAGCATGGATGGTGGGATTGGTTTCATTTCAGCTTTCTTTTTCTATTAGTAGTGGTTGTTTCGACCGACGTCGCCTCCTCTTTTTGTTAATGGTGGTTGTATTGGTCATCGTCACTTGTGGAGGGAGATTGACAGCTGACAAGTTTCAGCCTTCTCTCTTTTCTTTTTCAGCTTTGATTTCGACGATGGTGGTTGATTTTAAGGACTAAAATCTAACTAGAGACATTCTTGAGACTTGCTATAGCTTTATTTTGGCCTTCAAATAGCTTAATTTGGTCGAAAAATGGGGGGTTTAGACAGGTCTTCCAGCTGCAGGTCAGGTTCGAGTCACTAGCTGTTTTTCATCGATTTGGTCGTCTTTTCTCTTAATTTCAAGTTGGAGATGGTTGCTGGAGGCTGAAAGAAAAATTCTTTGGTGGTGATTGCCATTGATATGACTGAAAAATGTCCAAACCCGAATGGTGGTAAACAGGTTGGGTGCATGGCTTCTCCTTCATTTTTAATCAATTTGGTCTTGTTCTCCTTTAATCTCAAAATTGGGGATGGTTGTTGGAAGCTGAAGGAAGAGTTCTGTAGTGGTGGTCATCTTAGATTTGGTTGAAAAATAACCGATTTGGAAGGAAGAGATACTACGAGCTAGGTTCATATTTGGCGGGTTAGGATATGGGTTAAGGACTATTTCGCTTTTCGTTTTTTTTTTTTTTGGTAGAAAGAGATGTATTTATATGAATTTTTAGGATTTTGGGTTATTTTGTTTCAAACCCTCATTTCCTCAATTCTACATCAATCCTAGTCTTTTCTTATTTCAATTATATCATCAATTTGATTTTTATTGGTCATCACATATTTTATGTTCTTTAATTTGTGCTTGAATTTTTTCTCTCTTTTTCTCTTTTCAATTTGTTTTTTTTTCTCTCTTTTTTCAATTAAAATTAAGGGATAATCCTAAAAAATTAAATCCTAAAATTATAAAAATACCTAAAAAAAATCTATGTACCCTCCAATTTTTTTTTTAATTTTTAAATTTTGGATAAAAACAAAAATTTATGGAGGTCAAAAATGAGTTATGACGAGGATGAAACTCAATCTTAATTATCTAATTCTATATGGTATTAGAGCGCTTGATGAGCGAATGGTCATAAATTTGAATCTCACCACCCTACTTTTTCTTTTAATTAAAATATTAAGCACGAGATAGTGATGAATTTATACAAGTTTTAAGCCCAAAAGACTTTCATTTTAGGGAATGTATTAGAGAATAATATAAAATCATTCATAGAACCTTATTTAATACTTTAAACTTTTGAATTGATATAGTTATTTGATATGGTATCGGAGACTTGAAATAGACTCAATGGTCCGATAAAGATTTTGGAATCCAAATCACTTGAAAGATCTTAAAAGATAAACTACAAATGAAGGAGAATGTTAGAAAATATATGTCGTATTAAATAGTTAAAACAAAAAATAAGTAACACGAGAAAGATGTGAAAGGACCATCCATCATAAGATTTAAGTTTAGTTTCGTGTTATGAAAGCTTTTTGTACAAATGAATGCGTTCATATCAATTTTGCTCTTTTAGTTATATATATATATATATATATATAGATAGATATTGCCTTTGTCTTTAGACTTGATTGAGCCGTTCAAACCTAGATCTTTGATGGAAATAATCGATGATATAAAACAAAAAAGAACATAGCAAAGGAAGATATCAAAACGTGGTAGAGTTGGGTAGGAAAAGGAGGAGGCTGTTTTGGAGAGTTATCTTACTAGTAGAATATAGAATATAATTTAGAATGTACAAAAACATAAATAGTCACAATCATTGGAAAGTGCTATTATAATAGTATTAGGTAATGTAAACCAATAATAGGAGATACATACTAAAACGAATCGTATATTGGAGGAGATATATTACCATACATGTATTTATTAGGTACATTCTATGTAAACAAATCAAAATTTTTCATAACAATCTTGATAATCACTTTGCTCAAGATATCAATTCTTTCACAAAAGATGAATGAATTGGTTCAAACATAGATTGAAAATATGAGCTAATCACTTTTATTAAAGAAAAAAAGTCCATATCTTATATTCAAAGAGAAATAGTACCATGCAAAATATCCAAATATACTAACAAAAAATTTGATATTCAATGAGTGTCATTTAACATGGGGGCACTCATGTAGTGATGGCAATCCGACCCGCCTCGACGGAGCCCCATCCCGCCCCCATCAACACGAGGATTCCTCGCATTCATAGAGGAACGGGGTGAGGCACCCTCCCTTGTATTTATTTTGGACGAGGCTGGTATTTGCCTACCCTATCCCGTTTGCCACGTCTACGGTGACTTAGTCACTTAAGGTTAAGTTTAGTTTTACAATCATAAATTCATAATTCACACTTCACGATCACCGAGTCACACACCACCACTAAAAGTCCGAGACTATATCCCATTTGGTCGTTTCACACATACCTTCACTCGATCACGGAGTCGGTGAGTCACTCTTCACTTCTTCGGTCTTCACCAGTTCACCTTCTCTTTATCGAAGGTACGACTGTCGTGCCCAATAAAGTCTTCGAAGTTCAACATTTGTTCTTCCCTATCTCTTAACGATAATGCAATTACCTATCACCATTACCCACCGGGTAATTAGTTTTTTTCTAATTAGTTTTTTGAAATGTGGTTTCATAGACCACTTCGATTCTTGGACTTGTTGCTTGTGAGTTACGGATATTTTATTTCCTAGATTGTAATGATCAATGGGTAATTGGGTATGTTACTTGTTAGAAACCAAGGACCTCGATCAATGATGAATTATATGTTACTTGCTACATTATTTATCTAGAAATAGCTTTCTCATTGCTTTGTAGTTTTTGTTAAGAGGTCAAAAGTATTATAGCTAGCTTACATGATTTTGTCTCCGAATCAAATTTCTTAGCTCAAGATAGAAAGGAAGCTTTGGGCGGGATGTGAATTTGCATAGCTTTATTCCCTGGTTAGACAATGTTCCATTATGCTTTATGTGCGTAACACTCCATTACCAACTTTGTTAGAAATTTGTAAACTAATGAACAATGTACATGTTCCCAATAAAAATAGGATGCATTTTTTCACATCAAATCATGAATTACGTTGATTGCGATAAGCTTTGCTTAGTTATAGTTTATCCTCCTCTAGATCACTACTTGAAATTGATGAACCATTAAAAGCCACCGGCTAACATATCAACATAAGTATTCTTAATTGCTTGTTGGTTTACACTAAAATTGGTTGCTTATAAGCTTTATTTTGTTATAGTTTATTCTGTTGTAACTGCTTACTTGGTTTACACTAAAATTTGTTGATGTTTTCTTAAACAACATAAATATTCTTTATACCTATTTCAAATGTTTCAGACATTTTTCTTCCACCACGGATAAGCTAGCCAACAAAGATTAGAGTTTGTGGTACATGGGGCATAACATTACTTGTAAAATGGAGTTCTCGACACCTTCTTGCCTATTTCAAGTGTTTCGGCATTTTTCTTCCACCATAAATTTTAATTTTCTTTTCAAGCCCTTTAGGTCATTAGAAGCTCCACTATAAGGCATACCTAAATTGAACCCAAAAATTTCCACTCCAAGTTAAGACTAAAC